AACTTGATGTGTCAACTGAAAAAACCTAATCTACGAACTAACTAAAAATGCATATAAAATATAATTTAAGTCCACCCACTCTACAGCAGTATAGGAGAAGAAAGCATTGGGACAGCCCTGACTCAGGAGGGCTTCACAGAGATTTAATTGTATGTGCCAGGAAGTACATTATAATACTTTGTAAGTTCTCTTCTCTTTTTCGTCGTGTCATCACACAACCCCTCAGGACGCTGGTACGGCTTTATTAACGGTGGGAAAATTTAATAGCTAACATTCTAGAAACTCACTTTCAGTGTCCCAGAACAAGATACTGTCTTTTCTATTTCTCTGCCTATGAAATTTTCCCTATTCTTGATGCTAAGCTGTAACTGTATCTCCTTGGTATGAACTGGACAATGGTTTTCATTTGGCTCAAAGGAAAAGAGAGAAACCCCATGTAGGAGGGAAAGGAGAGGGAAGTTTTGGGTTGTGTATCTTAGATATTTTTTCATCTTCCTTTCAAGCCATTTAATTTATGTTTGGCTGTTTGGTTTTTTTTTCTTTTCCGTTTCAGATGGCGTATGTCATTGGAATATTAATTGTCTTGCATTATTGTTTATCTGTGTTTTCTGCGTTTTATAGAAAGACCATGTTTGCCACCGCAACCCGTAGAATGTGCTGATGTTCCCAGGCTGGAAAATCAAAACTTAAAAATTAAAAAAGAAGGGAAAACAATTTATCTGGCCGGTGCTAGATTTAAGTACGTTTCTCGTTCTGGATACACGTTGGATGGGCCATCGGAAATAACTTGTTCTATGGGAAACTGGACTTCAGCTCCTACATGCCTGGGTAATATGAAAAAATACTTTTTTTTGAAGTGCATTGAGCAATGAAATTGGAAGAATTTTAAACTGGAGGTTGACTAGTAAGAGCCAGTAACTCCGTATTTTGACGTGGAATCTTATCATCCCTCGTGGATGTCTTCAGAGCAGTCCTGACCGGATGCAAGGCTGACTGTTTGAATTTTCTGGCGTGGTTAGAAACAGGATCTAAATATTTCAGTGACTGAAGCCCACGCCTACGTAGGGGAATGACTTATTTGACCTTCTGTATGCTACCTTTTATATCAAATCCACTGTCAGCGGATGACTGTGCTGACGTTAGAAAAAGCTCTCTAAAGCATCTGGAAACAGTGGAAACAGTACACTCGTTCTACGCGTATCACGTTAGCACATGCATCAACTTTCTGTATCTTTTCAGAAATGCCATGTGGAAGTATTCCAAAAGTTGCCAATGCTCAAATTGAAGGCAGAAACAAGGAAATTTATGAGCCTGGTGAAACAATTCGCTACCAGTGTGATGCAGGGTTCCTGATTGTTGGTCCCCCCGAAATTATTTGCAGAGAAGGAAATTGGTCGGCACCACCCTTCTGTGAAGGTATAGGTTCTACTTCGAAGTAGTCTATGATCCTTCTCAGTCTTTCATGTTGTGAATTCAAATAATGTCAACTCAGGCATGCAGGTGGGTCAGGCCAATAGAGCCAACAGGTGTCTTGCTTTGAACGGGCTGCTGCAACACCTATTTTTCTGGCTCCTGAGAAACAGCAAGCAGGGTAGGTGAGCAAAGAAATTGTTTCCCCTGTGGGCTGAAGCTAGTAGCTGAAACAGCTCACTGCTGACATCAAGCAGACAGAGGGTTATGGGGGAATGGACGCTGGCTGCAAAGACGGAGATAACTGGTAGGGTAGTGTATCTTATTTTCACATCACTAAGAATGTCGGTTTCTGAAAGTTGCCTTCAAATAGTAAAGAAATCGCTTCACTCTCCAGCCCTTTGGCACACAATGCCGTACAGCACCAATCTGCACCTTTGGCTGATCTCCGCAACCCCTTTTCTCTTTTTAGTCGCTCTAGGCAAAAATAATAGTGTCTGGCAAAGCGCTTCTACCTGTAGAAAATGATCTGCGTTACGCAAACCGTTTCTGCTCATCAGGAACAATGGTGCTCCGGAATGCAATACTCTGTGATTGTCATATTGCTGCACTACTGTTCTTAAATGCCCCTCTCTTTTCAGATGTGAGCTGTGGAGCCGCACCCGAAATCCCCAATGCTCGTATTACAAGCACTCAACAGGAGAGGTATCTGCCTGGTGCCAGAGTGCAGTATGAATGTGAAAGCAATTTTCAAATGATGGGTGGAAATGACGTCACTTGTACGAATGGAGAATGGTCACAAGCACCGATCTGCAGAGGTAGGAATCTGTGCTTTCATCTTGCCTGTTAGCATCGGGGGGACTGTTTGTTTACCTAAATACTCTAAAGACTTTACCTTTTTTACTTCTCTTCTCTTTGTGTACCCCAGCTTCGTACTTGCTATTGCTTCCTCGCACAGCACTTTGATTTAGCTTCTAGAAATACTGGGGGTACTTTCATCAACAGCAAAAACGTCTTGAAAAAGCAGGGCGTAAAGTGTGCTGCTCTGTCATTTTCCTGTATGATACTGGTATTTCCCCAGAGTCTGCCATTTCAGCAACCTTCAGTAGAAAGACATGTAAGGGCTCCTCTGTTCTGTTCAAACCTGTCAGGGAGTATCTGGATGGAAGAAGCGGTAGGGGAGAGAAACAGCTGTTTTTCTCCAGGGCTCCGCTCTGACCCAGGCAGATCCCGGCAGAGACGCAGATCTAAACCATGTAAGATCTGCTAGGGCTGTGGAAGCGGGAAGAGCGTTCCTCTGATAAGGAACTGTCAGGAGCTGAGCTCTTGTCCCCTGCCCAGATCTGCAGCTGCAGCGTGAACAAGTGCTACTTGGCTTTCACACACCTCCATGGAGCTGACTGCACTTACCTGTCCCTGAGCAGTGCAGGCTGACAAGCTCCTCCAGCGCTGCCGGGCCTCCCGAGCTCTGCGGATCAGCAGAGCGCCAGCTT